GGAACTGTAAGATGGTTTCTTTCTTTTCTTTTTTTTTTTAAAGAAATTGGAATTTCATTTTTCAAATCCTTTTTTTTCTGTCCATTTATAATGCAAGAAAATATTTCTTTTAGAAAGAATACCTCTTTAATTTACATTCAGACAGTCGAGCACTGCTAAAAGAAGTTCTAATTTGTTTTTCTTCAAAATGAATTTTGGTACAATCAGAAAAATGATAAAAGCAAGTTTATTTTTTAATAATTTTTAAAAGGCTGACACATCCAAAATGCAATTGTCTTCCAGCAAATGTAAGATCTTTCTTTCCCACTACTATTATATATGGAATAATTAAAATTCCTTTAAAAATATTAATTTCATTCATACTTGGCATTGAAATCTTTTATTTTCTCCAGCATTCATGAAAGTTAAATATTTATAATTTCACTTTGTTGCTACAAACCTAGTTTGGTGAACGGTTGCCCTAAAGAAAGGGACTTTTTGGATTAATTGAGAATCTGTATTCCTCAAAATATAGATTTTCAATTAATCCAAAGATTTCCTTTCTTTAGAGCAACCAATTAAACAAATTTATTCACTCTTCAACTGTGGATCAATTTCAGTTTTTAAAACAAAATTTACAAAAATAGCAAAATAATTGATTAAACAAATATTAATCAATTTAAATACGACAGAGTTGTGTCCCCTAGATCAAAGCTAAAGCACTTATTTGATTTGGCAACAACCGGTTTGCTCTGGCTGTTTCCTTACTTTTAACTTGAATACTTATTTAACAGGACATCTCTGTCTTGTAAACTAGTGGGAATTTCAAATATCTTCTCACAATTTTCTTGGATGAAAAGTTAACAAAATATCAGTATGAAACCTAAACTTTTATAAAGTGTTTTTGTTTTTGCATTTTGTTTTAATGGAATGATTGTTGTAAGCAGGATATTTCAAATATCAAGGGTATATTTAAAAAAAATAAGCTCATATTATTTAACCATTACTAATTGATCCTGATCTTTCTCCAGTCATGATAGTTCTACCCTCAATGAGGCTCTATGCTTTGAACATCTCTTGAGTCTCAAGTGGAACTTTTCTATTCATTGCTAAAAACAGTCAGCTCATTCTATCAGCCCAAGAAATATCTGACTTCTTTTACCATGCTTTATCTTTACAAGAATCAGATCAAACTAAAAATGGAGTACTGCTATCATATCTGGGCTGGAACTGCTTAAACCTCATTTTCCCACCTTGATAAGGTTAAAAATCATTTGTGTGGTTTTATTATAAATGACTTATTTTTTACTCTGCAACTTCTTTTTCACAGATGCAACATTACAAACCTGTTCCTACTCTATCACTATTTCCAAAGTAAATAAGCTCTCCATTCTTTAATTCCACCAGATCTTTACAGCTAGGACATACCGTGCCACTTCCAATCATTCTCATTTCCTCAGCATTCCAAGATGTAAGAAGAAAGTTCCACTCTGGCAGGTTTTTTCCAAGAACTGACACTTTGTGGGTGCTTTCCCAAGCATCTCTTCAAGTCAAGAGTCAATTGTTATCTTTCCTCCTTATCCTCATAATTCATTTTTACCACCTTCTCTTCTATTACTATCACACTCATGATCCCGCATTAACATTCTGACTGTAACTTTAAATGGCTCTCAAGCCTTATATTTGGTGAAATTTAGTATTAAAAAGAAAAAGTAACTAACAATAGTAAAATGTTATGGAGATATAATTCTAACATTCTGAAATTTTCCTCTATTTTTAGAATCATTTAATGGTGTAAATGCTTGGAATTGATATCTTCCAATAAAACAATGTTCAGCCATTTAATAACCAAATAATTTTAAAATAAAAACCTGAAATATTCTTTGTAAGATACTCAAATCTCTGGTAAGGGTGTAAGCCATAGAGCCATAATTAACATGCTAGTCTCATAATCCATTTAGTTCAGTTGTCAATAGATTCCCCTATTTTATAGCTTCAGCATATGTGAGTAGTGTAATATTTATTGGCATGAAAGATGGAATCAACAAGCCAAGTTCAAATTCTGGCCTAATCTGTTGTATTCATTTTCACACGAATGTCTTTCGGAAAGGCATAAATCCATCTCTGCTATGTAAAGCTATGGGTTAAATAACAGGGTAGACTGAGTTCCCTTGCCTTGTAGAGTAAACTCTGAATTCCAAACCATGGAAAAGGCAACAAGAAACTACACTATTTTTCCCAAGAAAGCATAGCAATTTACAGAATAAAGAAAAGGATTTTGTGGAATCTTTTTCCTGAAGGTACATGTCATTTTTAAAAAAAAGCTTTCATATTGCTTTCTAATTTTTGTGATTATCTTCTGCCAATATAGATTCAATACACTTCAAACTTGATCAGCTTATGTAATTTTAATTTAAAGACAGATACTGTCAGTATTTTATATATTTTCCAACATTAGTTATTTTATCTTCAGTTGACATCTTACTCCAAGCTATAATGGACTTAATAATAAAAAAATAAATATTTAAAAATTTCATTGGACATCTTATATTTTGAAAATTTTGTAGTCTTGACTACATTGGCCCTTTAAGAGGGGTCTTGGAACTTCAGCTTAACTCAAAAAAGGCTACCATAAAGAATGCAAATATTAAAATACCAAATATAGTAAAATTGTTCTGCAGTTGTTATCTTTATTTGTGATTAGTAAATGTTCAAGAACTGTGTGTAATTTGTGCTACTTTTACTAAAACTTATTTAAAAGAAGTCATTAGATTCAATATCCGGTTACTTGAATAATGTATAGTATACATTTAACTTTATTAAAAAAAATTACTTATTACACACTTAACTTTAATCTATTAGTTTGTTAATTTCTAAAACTTTTAGAACATTTTGTTTTTATCTAAGAGTTTTCAAACACATACCTATTGAAATCAAAATTTCAAATTGAAAAATTTTGGAAATCAGTAATTGTGATTGTTATTTTAAACATGACATTACCAAAATTATTACAGTGAAAGGGAAAACTTTAATAAAACTGCATAAAACTGAAAATTTACATTAAGGAGATAGACTTTACCCTCAGAAATTGCAATGGGATATTGAAAAGACAATATCTGAGATGTAAAAAAAAATTCAAATTTGCTTTAAATTAAAAAAGAAAAAAAAGTAATTATAATGAAACACTGTCAGACTTAAAAAAAACCCAAAAAAACTAACAACTGAAAAGAAGAGAACTCTTAAAAACTATGCACTTCAAAAGTGTTAGTTTACTTCAGAACTTTATTGTTGTAGCAGAATGATGCTTGAGACTTAAGCAAAATTCAACATTTCAGAGTTTAATTTAGCTATACTTGTAATTCTACCAATTCCTAATTAGCCAAAGTCCAATGATAAATTTTCCTTTCAATATGCATGCTTAAAATTATTTTGATAATAAAACTTCATTATTTTTTTGTTAAAATTATGTCTATATAAAAAATTGTAAAAATCACTTTTTAAAAAAATGAAGATATTTTAAACAGCAATTAGTAATCTTCTTGTTTCTTTTTCTTTTTCAATGTTGATATAATTTTTCTATTTAGCTTTTATAACATACCAAAATTGGATCATTATTATTGGGGTGAGCATGGTCATAAACCCCCAAACCTTTATTATTAAATTGCAAATGGAATAGGAAATTAGTTTACTCTTGAAATGAAAACATTTTAATGATATTGTGCTAACAAAAAGATTGTTTTAATGCGTCATTTTTGCTGTACTAGAGTAAAATATCTCACAAACAAAAATTATTATATTATATGATTTCTTTTGTTGGATTTTATCATTTTTAAAAACTGTGATATATGATGCTTGTTTGTTATTATTGAGTTAGAGAGTAGCATGCCAACAAAATTATACTGGGGTACAAATATACGAATCCCTGTATACTCATTATGACATCCTGAAACACACATCACAGCAAAATATGCTTAATATGGTGACAGGCTTTGATAAAAGAAGCACAGAGCCTTGCTGATGGAGACCAGTTAGGAATACCTTCAGAATGGGTAAACCAGTCTGATCAGACAGTCTCCAGTTAAAGGTGTTCTCAAGATATGACTCTCAATTCACCTTGGCTTGATTCCCTCCTTCAAACTTGAAGAAGAAACCCTCTCAATACCCAACTATGATGCTATCCTACTACTTTCATTCATGAACAGTGATGTACATTAGTGCATCAACATCTACAGGACACACCTAACCGGTTAGGTTAACATGAGAGCCATAGTTGGTGTATCATTATTATTATTAGGTCTATGCTTTTTTTTATAATTCTTTGTAATTTTGAGAAATTGGGAGCTCTCATGACAGTTATTAAAAATATTTTCCCTAAACTCATAAATTCTAAACTTTTGCTGATTAGAAATGTTGTGCAATGTCTTTACATTGTTAATAGAAATCTGTTTTGTAATTCATAAGTGTAAAACAAAACATAGTATCCTAAAATACTACACTCAACCACTACACACAACTAAAAAAGATTCATTGCATAATTCCAGTGGAAGTTTATCAATGAAAAATATTTTTAATGATGAAGTTATAATAAATTTGTTCACCATTACTTAATAATTTTAACATATCATATTTGCGTTCCCATATCCAGTGCTGACAACAGTACACAATTTGGCTCAATATTTATGTAGCAAAAGCATCATTTTCTTATTTAAACATTTCAAAAGTCTAACAAGTTTTCAAACTTGTAAAAAATAAGTAAATGAAAATTAATGTTTTAAAATAATGACAAAAATTCCATGTACAAAACAAATTCTAAGATATAAAAAAAGAAACATTTACAACAATAGCTTTATCACCCATTCACTTTAATGTTTACTTCAGTTGTTGGTGGACATATTTCAGATATTGCTGTTTTGAAATTATAATACTTGCAAAAAATAGACAAGACTTGCATTTTATCAAAAGAAAGAACAACCATTGTCTTCATATTTTCCCAGGATTTCAGTTTGTATTCAATTTTTATTTTACCAATACAGTTTCAAGTATGCCAGCTTTTGATGATACTTTTGTTCTTCAGTGGTTGTGTAAAGCTGTAACAGAAATAAAACAAATGTGTTACATGAAAATTAACTGTGAAATGTTTAACTTCTTAATGTTTTAAATATGCCAACTCTTTCCAAATTTCCTGAAACAATTTATATATGATGCACTATTTTATTTACTAGTTCCTTTTGAACACTCAAATTTCAAAGATATATATATATATATATATATATATATAATAGTGTAGAGTGAGTACTGGTGGTAATAAAGCAGTTCTTAATGTATAATAACAAAGCTAAACTTTATGCTAGTATATATATATATATATATATATATATACACATATTTTTCATTAAAGACAAATGACAAGGTTCTACAATTAAGCTTTTATTATCTTGTGTTTGTACAAGTGTTTTTTTTTTCTGGGCACAAAGTGTGTAAAAGCTGTCCAAATTTTCTGCATATCTGAGCACTTTTGACTATTCTTTTAGGGTGATTTTTGTTTTTTACTAAATTTGTGGGGTTTTTATGTATGTGTCTGAAGTTATAAAAATGTGTTATTTTTCAAACAGTCAACACATTATGTCCCTGTTCATAGTGTTATTGAGTCTTGACTTTTCCTTTTTTATTATTAGGGCTTGCAATATTTTTAATCTTTTTTCACATGTGGATGAGGCTGTTATACTTGTATTTTCTACAAATATGTTTTGGATGAAGTCTGGTAGGTTTGTGTGTGTGATTAAATGAATCCTAATAGAGTTATGGTTAGGTAGATGTAATGCAAGTCATCTAGATAGACATGTAGTAGCGTGACCAATGTAATTATTTATGAGTTTGATTTTGATCAGGAACACAGTTCCTTAAGGGGGCATTTAAACTCATAAATAATGTTGGTTCTTTGTAGTTTTGATTTTGCAGGTGTGTTGTTATTTTTGATAAGGTTAGCTATTTTATTTTTTTTGTAATAGATAATTTAATTTTCTTGTTCAGGTCGGCTGGGAGTGTGTATTTCTTTATGATATTTCTAAGAGAAAATTCATCTTGCTTATTGTTGACATGTATTTGACTTTTGTAGATGTTAATTTTATTGTCTGTATGTTCAGTATCGTTATTAGTTACTTTAGAAAGAAATAGCCTAATCTGGTGGTTGATGAGGTACTTAGGAAAACCATTGTTAACTAGTGTCTGTTTTATATTATTGAGTTCTTTAAAGAAAAATTGACAAGATGAATTCTCATGTGCTCTCTTAAGGAAATTTTTTATAACTGCTATTTTATATCTAAGTGGACATTCACTCTTAAAATTAAGGTGACAAGAGATTCTGCTGGTGGGTTTTTTTATATAGTGAACTGGTGAATGTGTTATTACTGTATTCTATGTGGATTTCTAAGAATGGGAGTTTATTTTTTTTACTCAGTCCATAGGTAAAGTTAAGAACAGTTTTTTTGGATGTGGTTTTGAGATTATCAATTTCTTGTTGGTTTTTCACTAAAATAAAAATATCATCTACATTGCAGACATATATTTTGGGTTTAGTGGCTTATTTAAATATTGTGTTTTCTATGTGGGATATGTAGTAGTTGGAGAAGCACAGGCTGAGAGGATTTCCCATTCTAACACCATTATTTTGGGTGTAGATATTGCCATTATAATTGTAGAAAGGGACTTTGGTTGTGCAGGCAAGCAATAATTTTTTGATTTTTTTTTTAAATCTTTCAAAATTCTGTATTAATTTGTAGTGATTAGGTGATATTGTTATTAAGTAAAAACCATATTTACTAATCATAAATGAAAAAAACTTACTACAATTCAGCAAGCCCTAATATTTTAAAAAGAATTTGAATTTTTTGTGTGTATAAATGAGCCAATTTTTGTAAATACAGGCGTCTATACACAACATTATCAGAGTATAAGTGTAGTAACTATAGTAAATTTAAAGCCAAAATACCTAAAATTCAATAAACATTAGATTACTTAGAATATTTACCTAAATTTTTAAGATTACTAGATAGTTAAAAAAAATATATATAAAAAAGGCACTCATATTCATCAAGTAATTTTTATGGATATGTCTCCTGTAGAAAAAATTAGTTAAATTTTCCAAAACATCAGGTTGTCAATAGAGCTGTCAACACCCACCACTGTGTTAAAAAATGCTTTTCTGCAATATTTTAAACTAAAAGTATATAATATTTGTTTCTGATCAAGTTTATTAAATTTTAATCAACTAATATTCCTCAAAGTTTCAGTAAAGTATATTTTATTTTTAAAAGATTTTTCAATAAAGAGAATTACGTTGTGCTGAGAGAATTGTAAATATAGCTAAAATCAATGATTTTTAGTGATTTAAAAAAAAAAAAAAACTCATTCCAATCAATTTAAATTTGTTTTGAAATACAGAAAGGTATTTTGCTTATTGGAAATATTAAATTTAATCTATGAATTTTCAATTAAAACTAAAATAAAAACTTCAAGAAAGATTTTTCTTTTTAAAAAATTAATTTTAAACCTTAGGTATCGCTTTCCTAAGTGAAAAATAAAATATAAAGCAATAAAATAATTTTGATCTAAGGGAAGTAACTTCTTCCAAATTATTTCTATGACGTTTGAATCATACATTGAATGCGTCGCTGACAAAACAATCACCAGAAAGAAAAATGCAATAGGTGAATTTCAGCTTTTGCAGTAATGACTTTAGAAAAGATATGACTCATTACAATGGCTGATAGTTTTGAGTGGGTGAATGCTGCACTTAGGCAGACTACTCTCCTTTGTCCAACCAATAGCAGCAGATACAAGGTCTACTAATCAATCATATATGGCCTGTGCATGTGCTTTTTATTTTAAGAAAAAAATAATTTTAATATGGAAAATTAGAACATGACATAAGTTAAAGTGCCATGTATAGAAAATTTAGTTATTATTTAGAATTGCTTTTGTATTATTTGATTATTCCACTTTATTCTTGTTTTTCAACTCTTTAAATGCAAACATTAAGGAAATCAATATTTCTGGATTTATAGTGCCATCTTATAAAAACAAAATTACCCAATTGTTTTAATACTAATACAGTATTTGAAAATCAAGTTTTAAAAGTATGTTATCAACTGGTTTTGAGCTTCAAAAATTTCATCTGTGTAAACTTATAACAGTTTTCTAAATTTCATGTTGCTGTTATTGCCACCAGTAACTTCAATATTGTCAGAATCAATATGGATGCCTTCTCATTATTAATATTCTTCTATATGATTTGCTCTTCCTAAAAATAGTTGAAAATACAATGCAGTGTTTTTTTTATTTACATTTTAAAGTGAACATTACAAAGAGTTTATATTGATTTAATAGACAATTGACCAGTTGATTTTATCTGCTGTTATGTCAATAGTGATTGCTTTTCATGTTTCCACTTTATTAAATTATTAATTTTTATAAAGCTTATTCTTATTATTTTGGGTATATATTGGGTTGTCAATCAAATTCATTCGTTTTTTTTTAATGTTATTTGAAATAGGCAAAATATTTTACCACAATGTTTTATGTTTTTTTGTATCTCCGTTTTTCCACAAGTATTTATTATTTTTTAAATTTGGTTGAATTTTACCTCTTTTCAAACATGATGACAGTGTCAAGTAGGCAAAAATTAGCATTTTCAACATCTGCTTCAATTCACTTTCAATCAAGGTTCCAAAGATGCTATGTATGGAGAAGATGCTATTACAAAAAGAACTGCACAGAAATGGTTTTCACATTTCAAGGACGTGAACTTCAACCTCAAACAATATTAAAACTGTATTAAATAAGTCCTGGCTATGTGACTAAATATTTAACTATATTTTCTTGAAGTGATTTTAAATAAAATTTATTAAACATAATAGATTTAACCAATACAGTAAAATTCTTACTTTATTTGTATTTTTTTCTATAGTGCTTTTGATTGTGATATCAGGCATCAGGATTGGTGCACCTCCAAAAGATTGATGTTGTACCACTTTTTGGTTCCGAGATGTGTCAACATTATAAGTGTTTGGGCTGTTAAATAAAAAATAAAATTAAATTAATCTTTCATAAGTGCATTTTCAATGATAAATTGTTTGTTTTTATTGAAGTACAAGCAATTGCCTGGTCTGATCAAAACGTTAGACATTTTTCAGTAAAATTTTTAGTGAAATCCTGTTTTTGATTAACATCAAAAGTGCTCCAATATCAAAGATTAAAGACTCAACTGAATTAGATTATATTAAATGAAGTGTGTGTGTGTATATATATATATAATCCATTTCCCTTGCATCCTACTCCTGGTGCCAAATGCTATAATGAGTGTTTGGTTGCAAAGGAACGGAACAAACAAGGATTAAAATTTCAACAGTGTGTATTCATCAAATTTTGGTGGTTCCCAGGATCATCTTTTTCCCAGTGGGAATCTTCTTGATTGGCTATTGTATTTTTATTAGGGGGGGGGGGGGATTGTTTAGTGGACTGGATGTAATGCTCAGACCTTCCTGTACAGAAAATGGCTTTTTTATTTTGTGTTTTGATTTCACATCTGGCTAACATATAGTATGAATCAGAAGAAGATCTAATTGCAGCAGAATATAACACACACGCATATATATATATATATATATATATATATATATATATGAAGAAAAATTTGGAAAAAACAAACAAAAATCCTTAAATGCAATTATGTTGTTTAAAATGAATGAAATGTCGACGTCTGACGTTTCGGTTTAATAAACCTTCTTCAGGACAATATTCATTAAAATACAATTCAATTCAATTTGACAAAGACGATGGACATAAAAAACAAGTCTTATCCAAAACAGATAACTGAAAATTTTCAGTTATCTGTTTTGGATAAGTCTTTTTTCATGTTTTTTCTTTTAGCACCCTTAGTATTGGTAGGGTTGTTCTTTGAAGCTTTACCAATATCTTAATTTGCTTTGGTAATATATATATATATATAAGTTTTCAGCAACCTAGAGGGAATTCACCCAATACATAAATTCTGATGTTGTTCATTTGGTCAGATTTAGGGAATTGGGTCAAGCTGAAAATTTTACAGTATACAGTGGGTTATAAAATTATTCACATCACATGAAAGGCAGACTTTTATTGTCAAAGTTAATATATTTATATTTGTGCAATAAGTTTAACTGGAAAGTCATCAGAAGAATTACAAACTTTTGTCTATAGTTCAATTTTATGAAAATGACAAAATATTAATTTCATAGTGTTACAAAAGTATTCCCACTTAGTTCATACAGTAGTACTTCATAGTAACTTCTGTTGCTACAAGAACAGCTTCCAAACACTCTACACTAATGTTTTCTGGACAGTTTAGCCCAATTTTATTTGCAGTTCTGCTCCAGCTGAATTACATTCATTGGTGATTTTTGGTGGTTTTCTATGGGATTCAGTTCTAGACTTTAACTTGGCTGGTTTAAAACTTCTATTATTTTCTTCAGAAATCATTCTTGAATTGCTCAAGGCATATTTTGGATTTTGTCCTGCTGAAATGGGAACTTCTTGCCAAGTTTCAGGTTTCTTGTACACTTGAAGATGTTTTCCTTCAGAATTTTGATGTATTTGGCACTGTCTTTGAAAAACTTCCCAGGACCAGAGGAAGAAAAAGAGCCCTATAGCATTATGCTCCTGTTTCCATGTTGTATAATGGATATGGTAAGGGCTGAAACATTAACTTCACCAAATATACTTGTCTAGGTCTACACCAGATACACCTGTTGGAATTCAAACCCCAAAAGTTCTGTTTTGGATTCATCTGAACGGATAACTCTTTCCCACATATAGAATCTTTTAGATGTTTAGAAGCATACTCTAAACAGTAGTTCTGACCCTTTCATTACCCATGGACCACTTTTACTCTTAATTTTTTTTGTGGACACCCATAACCATTCAATGAAATAAAAGCTTTACTAATAAATAAGTTTAGGAATTATAGAAATAGTAAATGTATATGCTTTATTTTGAAGTAAAACTAATTTAATGAAAATAAACTTGTATTTAACAACTAAATTCTATGGAACATTTATGTACACTAGCAAAATAACTCATGATAAACCATTTTAAAATATGTGATTAATTAATCCGCAATTTGCTATTTTTTGTGTGGACCCCAGTAATTTTAAATGGGCCCCAACCCCTGCCAGAGTCTAGTTGAGAACCTCTGCTCTAGATGAACTTTGAGGTGTTTTTTTATATTTTTTAATTGCTTCTTTCTTGTGTAAAATGCAGAATATTGCTCTGTAATACCAGCATGATGAACAGATTTCTGGTCTTCAAAAATGACAGAAGGATTAGCTTTGGTTTGTCTGACCAATTTAGAATTGGCTGAAGAATGCTCTGTTCTTCTGGGATTTGCCATTTACTTTGAATCTTCCACTTTTTGACTACAATACTTCTTGGTGCCTTTAATGAACTGCCAATAGATTTATAGTTTTCACTATATTTGTGCTTCTCTATAACTTTCTTTCTCAAGTCTCCGTATAACTCTCTCAACTTCATGACTGCTACACATGTTGTTTAATAAACAAGCGCAGTGTGATTGTAGACAGCAGACTGTTGTTTTCACACCAAATAAGTTACATATAAATGGAATACAATCTGTTAAAATGTGAAGTAAAAGTTTGAGTTTAACAATGTTATGAAGCAAAATTAAATCTTTTGTTACAGTGGCTGTGAATATTTATGCCAATTTTGGCAATTTGTTTAAAGATTATTTAAAAACATTTATTAATATCCCTTTAAAAATGTACAAATTCGTATGTTAAAAACTATGGTAAATCACTTATGTTTAGTTCTATTCTAAAAAGTTTTGTTCTTGCTAAGGGCATAAATACTTTTGCAACTCAATGTGTGTGTAGATATGTGTGTGTGTATAAATAAATAATTTTTATTTTTATGTTTCATTCAAATACACATGCAAAAAGAAATCTAATTTTTACTAAAATTCATAAATTTTAGTTTAAAATAAAATTGACCTTGGAGAAAATTCACATTCTTTAAGTCGATTCTTAAATCGACTAACCCCAATAAGAAAAGGCTTGGTATCAGGTCGAAATTTCACAGGATCTGCATGATGTTGTTGGTAATGTGTAGGACAAGGAGTTTTTTCCTAAAACAAAAGAATCAAATGCTTCATTCTGTGAGCAACACTGAGGAAGTAAACCATTACAAAGGAAGCCAAACTGATAACAAACTTGACAAGATTGAAATGTTGCTATTGCAGAAATACAAATGCAAAATCAATCAAACTGAATAAAGTTGAAAAGTTGTAATAATAAAATTTATTATATCAACAATGGCATTTTCAAATGTGTAGACACTTGTGCATACAATGCACTTAATTCAGCAGTGAACAGTAATTGCATAGATCAAACATTATATGGTGAAAATTTCAGATCAAAATTCAATTCAGGCTGTAGACTTATTGATCCATCCTAACAAATGAACAGAAGAAAGAGAAATAGTAATGGTTGCAAGGACCATTTATATCCATTTTACAGATTCTTGGATGTTAAATTTTTATGTTTCTAATGGCTAGTTTAGGAATTTCCAAACTCATGAATATTCCTCTGGTCAGGTTTTCGAAGAAAAATAAATTATTTTCAGAAAAAAATGTTAACTTGAATAAAACCTGAATTTTCGACTTCATGGAATAAAACAAATGAAGGTTATCATGCTTGAAAAAATTCATAGACATGCTCGGTAATGCTCAGAATAAATCTGATAGAGGTCAACATGGATACGAAAACAGGTTAAAGTAAGAAGACAGAAGGATAACAGATGAAACAAAATGTTGGCTGTATTGTGCCCAGTGGATAACAAATACAGTACGAGAAGACCAGACAAAAGATGAGATAGAGGGACTTTGCTGGTAAAATAAGGCAGAAATTGGCACAGTTACAGTCATCTTGGATGTTGAGAAAGGTGTTTGTCCAGCAGTAGAATCACAATGGCTGATGGTGTCTACAGTGAAATAGCTAATGAAAACCTATTGTGTTTTACCAAAACGGCTCAAAATTTGAATCTCATATAACTTCTAATAAATTCTCCACTCAAATTTATTTACTTGAGAAGAACCATGAATTAATCTTTTGTGCTTTTTTTTCTTCTGAGCAAGTCTAATTTTTGTGCTGGCACGTTAGTAAAATTGAGAATAAAAAATGGAGTTGTCTCCCTTACATAATTTCGGTCTAATTTTGACAGAATTCTCTTTTACTTATCTTGAATTTAAGCACAATGTGTGATGGTATATGTCTATGCAAACAACGAAATATCAAACTATTTTGTCACAGGTATTACCCAAAAGTTCTATATAGAAAAATGTATTATCTTGGTAACTAACTAATTAGATCGTTCGTCGATTTGCCCATATATCAGGAGACAAAAGGTGTTAATCTATGTGTTCCTGCAGTTTCAATCTCCCTCAGGTTTTAAATTCAGAGTTGTCTTTCTCTTAGATTGGTTGCTAAGGAACCCAGTATACCTTGTTATTTGACTTATAGCTGGGGTAGAAGATTCATACATTTTCCTAAGGGTATTTACACCTAAATGAATGTAATAAACTCAACAGGAATTCAAACTCAACTCTCCAATTTCTCATTCTGCGCTGCTATTCATTACACCACCTGCACATTCAATCTTGGTAAACAGCTAATATTGATTTTTTATACCTGAAGCAAAAGTTCAAAAATTATTACATCATATTTAAAGGAATAATTAATATAGCCCTTCACTAAGATAAAGCCATGAAAAACGTTTTAAACAATATTATCAAAAGCAATAAATTGCTGTAAAAATGTTATTTTACTTACAATTCTTTGTTCACCAAATCGTTTTGAGGTCCGAGCTGCCAAAGAATAACCCAAGGTACTTTGGATTTTTTTTTTATTCACTGAAGTGAAATTCGTTTTCTAAAATTGAAAGAAAATAGATCAGATTGTAATTTTATCTTACCAACAATTTCTTTGACTAGTAAAATCAAATAGTTAAATCATATTTCTTAGAAAGCAACAAGCAAAAAACAAAAAAAGTATTCCAGATATATTTACTTTTAACTGTTTTTTATCTTAATTCAATAAGCTTTTATTTATTATTACAATTTTTTAATGGAATATGTAATAACATGTTATAAGTTTTAATAGTTAAAAATTTTCATAAAAAAGGAATGAAAACTATTTTTTTTAAATATTTTACTTAAACACTTGTATCTATATAGTATCATTAAAATAGATTACTTTAAAATATTATCTACCTGTTTATATATTTGAAAATAAAATATAAAAAAAAGAGAATTCAAAACTGAATAAGCTTTTATGACTTTTTTTGCTAAGTAAATTGCCATACACAATTTCTTTTGAATTTAATCAACTTTTAGTAAACCATGAAATGATACTAGAAGTCCTATTTTTAATATATAGTATTATTTATTGAACCATATTGTCTTTTATCAAACATATCCTTAACTGAAACAAATCTGTTATAAGAACAAAATAACATTCACATGTTAACTGTGTCATATGTATTTCAGTAATATTAAAATCTATTATTATTTGTTTGATTATCTTATTTATTAGCTTCTTTTGATCATAAACATTCACGTGCAACATTAATAAACGTTTTGTGTGCTCAATTCTGGGATTTTTACTAAACCTTTCTAATAATTTGGCATGCTCAAATCACCGTGCTGATAAAAAATATGGTGCCAGTTGGGTTACATTGTGCAGATCAGGTCGAAAATTTCAGTGATTGCGCAGGTCAGTGTTACGAACATTGTGTGAAAATTTTGTATGAATTGATTGGACAGTTTTTGAAATATTATAAAAAAAGTTATCTTGATAATAATTTGGCATGCAGTGTATATTTAATATGTAATAATTATTTAATTTAATAGTAAATAATATTAAAGTGAAGGTATTTTTCCTATTGATTTTAACTGATGAATTATTATTTTATTATTCTTTAATACATACACATGATGGCTGCCACATCATTGTCCGGTATGCCAACCACAAGAATCATTTTAAGATCGAGCTGTGCTTTGAACAGATATGGCTCTTTAAACTGGACAAACTTTTAAAATATTTGACACACAGTTTATAGACATGAGAAACATACATTTTGTTGTTATTAGGTCTATGTTTGTGACTGTTTGCCTTTTCAACCCACCAGCTGACTTGCAAACTTTTTTTGCAAAAGTGACATTGATTCTCAGTACTTAATATTTTTTAGTTGGTTGATGCACTGGTATGATGACTTTGCATGTGACTTAATTTTCCTGCTTTACTCAGGCAAATCATACCAAAAACATCACAAGTGAGATTATGCATGTCATCTATATGGTCTGGAAGTTCTTCATTAAAACTTCTTAAGACATTTCTTTTCAGCTTTTCTTTCTCAATCTGAGAACTTTCTGAAGCAACTTTTTCATCATGAGCCTTCTTCTGCCAAATGATATGATCATTTACATGGAAGTCCAAGTCTTATGTATTTATGTTTGCAAGGTTTTGTGATTCTTTCAACCCATCCTTATAATGCTTCTTTGGCTTATTGTATGGTCACTTTCCATTAGCAAGTTCTCTATACAAAAGCTGCTTTGGTATCCTGATGTTAGTCATGCAAACCAATGCAACCTATATTTCAGAATTGTTGTTTCAATGCCATTACACTGACTTCTCTCAAATACTTCTAAATCACTGACATGCATTCTCCAGTTGATTCCAAGTATTCAATGCAAGCATTGTTGATGAAAGCACTCAAGCAGTGTCAAGTGCTCACAATAGACAACCCATGCATACAACAATGTTAAGACACAAGCATGGTACACCTTGATCTTAATCACTTTTCAAAATTCCACATTGTCTCTATAGTCATTTGTCCAACTTATCAAATACATTACTGGCTTTTTGAATTTTCCTCACAACTTCATTGGTCAGTGTACAAATTCTTGTTAGAGTGCTACCAAGATAAATAAAGTCATCAACCATGCCTATACACTTATTGCATACAAATATATTTGGTTCCATGTAAGGCTTTCCTAGTACAGGCTGATATACCACTACAGTTATTTTTATTTATAGTAAGTCACAGAGCCATGTAAGCATTGACAAAAGTGTCCATTAAGTGTTGCATATTATCCTCAGTGTAAGCAACAAGGCCACAATCATCTGCATACATGTTTTATATAAGGTTAACAGATATCATTATCTTGGTCGATATTCTTCTAATATTAGATAAATTTCCAGAGTTGCAATAGTGTATATATATATGCCATCATCACAGATCTTGATTGCTATGTAAAACACCATTATAAAGAGCAAATAGGATAGGAGCAGGAACATCTCCTGGTTTCACTCCATTCTTTATATCAAATGGTTCAGACAGATTACCACCAACATTTAACCATGCTTTCATGCCATCATGAAAACATTGAAACATGTTAATAAATTTTTCTGGGTCACCAAGGTTTCTCAATATTTCCCATAAACAAATCCTGTTGACTGTATCAAATGCCTTTGTCAAATCAACAAACTTGATACAAATCCATTCTTTACTGCATACACTTTTCCTTTAATTGTCTTACAGAAAAGATCATAACTGTACATGTATACATGTGTCTTATTAAATTCACTTGATTTATCTTGCTCCTGAAGATCTGATTTATCTCTTTGAGTCAGGAGATCAGTCTTTTCTCTCTCTCTCTCTCTCTCTCTCTATATATATATATATATAAAATAATTTTTATTACCAACAGATAATTTCTATCTGAAAACTATAACATGATATATAATATATAACAGGAGAGCTTCATAATTAAAATGCAGTTCAACAGATATTTTTTATTATTATGAAACACTGAGAAAAAAATGTCTTCTGAAAAGAAAATATGTATTTGAAATACAGGGTGTTTCAAAAAGTATACTCCAAAATCATCACATGATGTGTCAAAAACGAAAATAATTACAAACCTCTAGCATGAACACATGTGTTGTATATACATTCAAGATTCATTTCATGTTTTATAAGTGCTCAATGTGGCCACCACCGGCAGCACGGACAACATCAAGCCGATATGAGAATTCCTCCCAAACACGCCTCAGCATGTCACGGTCCACCGTGTTAAATTGCAACTGTTATTCGATCTTTCAAGTCATCGATACTTGCTGGAAGTGCTGGAACATAAAGTTGGTCTTTAACATACCCCCACAAGAAAAAGTCACACACAGTGAGGTCCGGGAATCTGGCAGGCCAAGCACAGAGAGCAAGGTCTTTAGCACCTCTCCTCCCAATCCATCACTGAGGCACGTTTTCATTCAGATAAGCTCTAACCCCGAGATGCCAGTGGTGCTCCATCTTGCTGAAAAATAAAGTCATTCAAATCTGCTTGCAGTAAAGTGAATAGCCAGTTCTGGAGCATTTTGAGATAGGTTTGCCCTGTAACGGTGTTTCCTTCAAAGAAAAAGGGACCATAGACCTTGTCTTGAGACACAGTATAGAAGACATTCACTTTAGGGGAATCTCTTTCATGCTCAACAGTTTCATGTGGGTGCTCTGTTCCCCAAATGCGCACATTGTGATGATTGACTGTGCCTCTCAAATGAAAATTCACTTCATCACTAAAAACTAAAAATGAAAAGAGAGTTTCATCACCTTCCTCCATCTCCAACATTGACTCACAGAATGTCCTCCGCATCACCTTGTTATCATTAGTAAGTGCTTGGATGAGGCTTAGTTTGTATGGTTTCATGTGTAATCATCTCTTTAACCAGACAGTGGTATGAGGGATGGCAAGCTGAAGACTTGCTCGACATATGGACTTACGTGGGCTGCTCTCAAATGCATCATGAATCCTCTCCTCTTGCTCCTCTGTAACACGTGGTCTTCCAGGACTCTTTCCTTTGCACAGGCACCCATTCTCTTTAAACTGTCTAACCCACCGTCGAATGCTCTCACAATGGGGCGGATCAATGCCAAATTCTGTTCTGAATGCACACTGCACCATGACAATAGAGTTTGTTTTCGCGAACTCAAGCATGCAAAACGCCTTCTGCTGAGGAGTCGCTATTTTGATTGATCTTCCCACAATTCAGCTGCACCAGAAGTTATACTAATGACAGCGGTGAAACTGACACCCAGTCAAACTTTGATAACTACTCTATCAAATAACCACTGATTCAGTCCACTAAATTGCTACAGACCTGAAAAAACAGCGTAATGACTTTGGCGTATTCTTTTTTAAACACCCTGTAAATGTAACCAAATATGAAATGACACTTGTAGGAGGGTACTGTATCATCATGGTGAGCTCATCAACAAAGTTTGCTAATGTAGTGAGTTTAATATGAACAGTGGATCTGTTCCAAATTCAACTAAGTAAATAAGCCCTGCATTATCACTGTGATAGGCGTGGATATTTCACTGTTGCCACTGGCTAATGTTTCAGTACAGATTAAAAACTAAAATGAAAAAAGATTTCGAAATGATTAAAAAAAAAAAAAGATTCTCCAAGATATAAACATGTCTTTTTCACTTTGAATTGGTACAACATAAATTTACCTATTCCCAGATTAAGTTTAGCTAAGTAAAATGAAAGCAATTGTAATGGCCCAGTGAGTAGATAGACCAATACTATTTATATTATTATACTTTCAACGTACAGGATTCAAGTAAACAACAAAAACTCCAAACTGTGAATCAACAAGTATATATTGAAATAACATACAAGGACAAATATGCAATAAAATTGTATTCAATGTATAGATTAAGGGAAAGAAGTTGTTCCCCTTTAATTGTATTTTGGTTTGTAATTGATTGTTCAAAGTTCTTTTTGAGAGAAAAATGTTCAGGAATCAATATTAGAACAAGATCTGTTTGTTAGAATAGATAACACAAGAATACAATTGATCAGAAATGTGTTGTGTTATAGAATGGTTCGAAATTAACAGAGTCCTGGTTGATTGAGCTTGGCTAAGTCACAGAGAGAAGTGTGAGTTTATACTACAAAATTCTGTGTCTGTGTGTGCGTTTGAAAATGTTCTGATTAAGATCGTGGATTTGTTTTGTCAGGCGAAATTTACTGGATCCTACTGATGACTTGTGAAAAAGTCGCCTCTTCTAATGAAAAAGAATAGGCTCCCACAGAAGCGTGGAAAAAGATTAATCTTGCACTAAAATATGTGATTGGTTAAAAATTAACCAATCGCTACATTTGCACTAACAAAACTGGCACTCAAGCTCAAAACCAAAGGATTCAAAGGAATGACTGCAATGGCTAAATTGTCCTATATAGAAAAGTAGTATTGATTTATTAGCCAATAGCAGACAAATAAAATGTGGGCGTGGAAAAATATAGCAATCATTACACAATGATTAGCACAAACTAATTTTGCAGATGGTTAATGCTGTAGTGAGTTTGATCCTTACTAAGTGCTCTAGACTCATGGCTTTGTGCTGTGTTCAGCTAAAGTTAATGAATATGATATCACACCTGATAAAAAAATTACCTCTTCATTTTCATAAGTTCCTGGTCCAATGTGAGGAACTCCTGTGATAGATGCACAGTTCACAGCAAATCTATTGAATGGAACATGTTCTGGAAACGTTTCTCTCTCCTGTGATGTACCAAATGCTACACGGCCAGCTTTTGGTGCCTGAACTTGAAAGACAAAGATAAATGTTTGGAGGTGAAATTGTGTTAGTTAAAAAGTATTAATGTTGTTGTCTAACAAGTTAATTAAATACTCACTGAGCCACTATCATTGCTATTATTTTATAGATATTTTCTACGTTTTTCTAAAGCAAGAAAATAAATCAGTTAATGTATGAGAGAGTATATGAATTTGGTTTAAATATGGATCGGAATCCGACAGGACGATAAGATAAAAAGAACCAATCTAACATGTTTCACTTATGAAGCTTTAATTAATTAAAAAAAGTGTAATGTAACATACATAAAGGAAGAATAAAGAATATTATAAAGTATCATATGATGAGTGTTTCTACGACAGTGAAAAGAAAAAAGTTCTGCCTGTTCTCTCTTATTTTATTTTTTCAAAAACGAAATAAAACTTATCAGGTATGACTTTTAAATCAAGTATACATGTATTTACCCCATTTATGAAAGTATTTCCAAAGGATATTACTCACTGGGAACTTGTATAGATCGAGTCCCAGGATCAAAACAACTCGAAACAACCGATTCCATGCTTTTTCTTTCACATTATTTGAGTAAAAGTGGGTGCGGTAATTACACTGTTGCTAAGGTGTTGTTAAGGGATATGTCGCTTTTCAAGTAAGAGTTATCGCCCTTTGTACAGCAAACTTATTTCTTAAATTATTCATTTAGCAATAAAAACTTGATATTACAAACTCATTCATATTTTTATTTTATTTTATTTTTTTTTTTTTTACTATGGTGTAGGCTTTTATTGCAGATAAACACAAGAAATAAATATTCTCTAGTGCTGTATGAAGCAAATATAAGAAAACAACATTAATGATGAAAAAACATTTTTTTATCCAAGGAAAATTTTTCTATACTATGGTTGTTACATATATTTATGCAGTAATCATCAAGGAGATTACACTTTACTTAAAAATACTTATCTATGAAGATTCACTTGTGCTTTAAATATTTTTACATAACCTATTTTAATCTTTAAAAAATCTCCATGTGACTTTAAATTCCTTTCTTTCATTAAACCAGATATAAGAACAGGATTCTTTTTTAAATCACCAAAACAAGTAATAACTTGTTTGGTGATTTTAATTTATAAAACTAATGTGTCAAAATATGTCATTCAGGTTTTCATTCTTTTTGTGCGTATAACTTCAAATTTCACTGTGTAAAAACTTGTGTACATTTCCAGAGTGAGTTTATTCCTCACTGGGTGTCTACACTCATGGCCTTGTGGGATCGCCAGGTAATGTTAATATTAATGAATAAGATGAAACTTGAACCTTTCATATTTAACATTACATTTTAATTCACTTCATCAGTTACTATCAATCAGTGTTTGGATGTGTGGCTCCCATTACTCCAGTCCAAAATGTGGAGCTTACATTTTTGTTTGCAATGTCTGAGAGACTGCCCAACTCCTATCTGAAACAGTTGTTTATATTTATCTCTCCTATGCTTGTCATTCCCATACTTACAAAACAAGATGTGTGAGGTCACATGCTGCTGCAAGTTTTATTTCAATATCACTACAGCAGGTAAAACTTTTTATTGTTTTCATGTGTGACACTTTTCAGAGAAAAATAAGGTAGATACTGTGGTATTAATATATATATGCTTCTAACTTTTAAATTCAACACTTAGAATAAATACAGTTTCAATGTTGTTGGTTTATTATCATTAGACAACAAAGCAACATCAAGTTTGATATTTTCCTCTAGTTATAAATGTTTGATATTTTTAGGAAAATGTTGAAAAGTTTAAAGCTCAGGAAGTAGGATTTAAAAAAAAAAAACAGATATTGTTGTTTACCATTGTAAATAATTTTTACATAAACACTGAATTACCTCCTTTAGATTTATTTTTTAAGTAGCTTTGTATTCTGGGTTCTTTATTAGAAGTGAGTCACCAATTTTACAGATCTACCTGATATACACCACAAAGTGCAGAATATTTATGGTAACAATGCAGAAATAATCAAAATAAAACAACTATTTTTTTCTATGAATAAAAAATTTAACTTAATCTGCATGAAGAAAAATGCAGATTTCAATTTATATCAGATGATGAAACCAGTTAGCAAACAAAAGCAGGAAAAATGTTTTTGTTTTCACACCTGGAAATATTTTCCCAATAATATATTACTTTAAAGATGAAAATTATTCTTTTTAGATAGTACTACTTTGGTTTTTGAAGTTTCTTTTTGTAATGATTCCACAGAGACTCTGCACTTTAGGTATGTATACTGGCATCATGTTGATTCATGTTATTTTGTGTTATTTTGTGTTATTTTAAATAAACATCTTCAGATCCAAACAAGGTCTCAGAAAACGAGTTAAAAATATAAAGAGAAATGTAAGGGAGGTAATTTAGTGTTTGCCATGAAGACATTATTTAGTGTAAACCTAATGCCTTTATTGCATTTTGGACACTATTTCAAATTTCATTTTGTTTTAATTCAGATTCATAACTTTTCAATTTCAAAGTAAGTAGCGCTCAGAATATGAGGTTAGTTTTAATAAAATGTAAGGGAATCAATTCAGTATTTATTATGCAAAAATTGTTTAGAGTGGTAAAATTAACAGTACCCAAAAAAGCTATCAATTAAATTTTATGCTTTTATGTGTTTGATTATCTCATTAGGAATACTACCAAAGTTAACAGCAAAATCTTGAGAATATTTTTGTTTCATCACTACAATGCTGTAGTGAATAGATGCTATAAATTTGTAATGGCCAACAGTTTGTAAGAGTTGTGATTAGGATGAAAATTTTCAAAAGAATCTAATTCAACATTTTCAAAAGAAATGAATTGCTTGTAAATTTTAAAACCTTCAAAATGAAACTACTATGTTTTAGTCATTGTAGAGAACTACTTTTGCCTTCCATCAACATGGCTAATGCTAACCTTCAGGAAAGCAACTCATTGCACCTTCTTGGTCTCATGTTTTCCACTAACATGAAGTGTAGTGATTATATTGAATCAATTGCTAGGTCTGCTGCTAGGAAAGTTGGTTCACTGTGACATGCCAGACAATTTTTCTTGTCAAAATCCATCTTGCACATTTATAAATCTATCATTCATCCATGCATTGAATATTGTTGCCATATCTGATCTGATCTGGTGCTCCTTCTATATATCTTAAAATTCTTTCTTTCTGTAAATATTTTCATCACAATTGTTCTAATCAGCTTTCCACCTTGATACCACAACCACATAAATTTAAGCATGCTACTAGACTGACAACTAGGTCTTACTGTTTTACTATTGAATTAGCTAGATGTAAATGCAAGTTCTATTCTACTAAATTCTTTTCTCGCCTGTAGAACTCTCTTCCGGGTTTCTTACTTCCTTGCTACATACAATCTTCAAAAATTTAAATGTAACATCAATTGCCATCTTCTGTCTTCCTGAAACCTGTTCTTTTATTTTTCCTTCTCCTCACTAAAGTTTTCTCATTCTCTTTCCCTCCCAGTAATCCCTTGTATGTTAGTGGTATTATTGCCTTGCTTGGGGTGAAATGATTTAAAAAAACATTCTTGAAAGAAACTAATTTCAACATGTGGAGGAATTTTATGCATATTTATATAAAGAACAACATAGCTAACAAAAGAGAAAGAGAAAATTGTATTTATGTGTATATTGTCAGAGTTAACTCCTCCTTCAGTCCGTTAACCCTTTCACCAGGGGTCTCTCTTCCCTGGCTATAAATAGCCGCTGACCCTTCACCACTATCTCTTTTTCCTTCAGGCCTGTGCACCGACACCTTGAGGTAAATCTATCTCTTTTTCCTTCAGGATTTCAGCTATCAACCTCGAAATGTAGGCACTAACAAGGGATAGCGTGGAAACACGCTAAGCACAATATACACACACGCACGCACATACAGAATATTCACACATGCACGCACATACAGAATATTCACACACACTTCGTCCTTTGTACTGTTTCCATGTATTGTAACTTGTTATTAATATATATTTGTATATACATATATTATCGGTCTTGTGTTTTTTTAGCAGGAGTTGAAAAAATCACGTTGGGGTCACCACTTGTAGAGGGGCCGTGGCTGTTATGTTGTTGATAGAAGTCAGACATAGAGGAAACGCATGTAAGGTTCAGATACTCCTGCCCGCCGGGCCCAACTACATAAAAAGGTTGGACTTTGATTAAGTCCAAAGAAGAAAGCAAACAAAATACAAGACCGATAATATATGTATATACATATTAAAAAAAAAACAAAAAAAAAAAAAAAACAAACAAACAATTTCTTATACACACACCTTCCCAAAAAGAGAGCCAGATAGGGAAAACATTGAAAAACTTCTTTTCGAATCCTACGCACACTGTACACTAGAACAACAATTACTACTATTCAAGACGAACCTTAGAACTCTTCCCCCACTGGTCTATATTTGCTTGACCCTTTCTTTCTCTCGGCGACGTTTGACCTAATTTCGCCCAGCAGATATGTTTAAGGCTGTACCAAACGAAAAACACAACGCCATTTTCTACTAGCCACTGTTTTCTTCTGGACTGAAATAGAAAAAGTGTGAACCAAACCACTGAAAGATGATTCACTGTCTCCTTTTTAAACAACATTCGTGATTCCAACATGGAAGCAACACTCAACTGACACCACGTGGCATTATCTTCATGCCACTGCTTGCTTCTCATTCTTTTCAAACACACGTGGACATTCTATTCAACACGACTTCAACTGACTACACATCCACTCACATTGTGCTACACACTGCACATATTTCAGATGTCCAATGCAGTCTTAAAAGGCAATTCACCGTCCTTCATCTCATTCTGCAATGACGCGACTCAAACAAACCGAGAATTTGCCAGAACGATATTCTATCGTCAATAATACCAAATTCTCCCAACCTACATTCGACACACGGTAGAAATTCAGCTCAACTTCACGAGTACGCTGCGTCTATTAACTTTTGTGTGCCAATTATACCCACACGAACCACCACGTTTTTCAAACCAACTACAAACAGGCCAGCAGACAGGTGCATAGATCGACACAACCAATTCAACGTGGAGCATTGAAAAAAAAAGACAAATTTTAATAGTAAACGCAGACCACTACCGACGCATTTACAGGACGTGCCCCAATTCTAACTCACTGAAAAATAACACTGCACCCTGAGACAACACTGCATTTCGTCGAATCACGAATCTCAACCACACTTCTGACACATTTTCTTTTCAGCTCACAAGAACAATATTCAAACTTTCACGAACCTTTTTCTTTATACATTAAAAGTTTTCATTTCCTTACAACTTTTAATCTTGTGGGGGCATTGTCGGAGTTAACTCCTCCTTCAGTCCGTTAACCCTTTCACCAGGGGTCTCTCTTCCCTGGCTATAAATAGCCGCTGACCCTTCACCACTATCTCTTTTTCCTTCAGGCCTGTGCACCAACACCTTGAGGTAAATCTATCTCTTTTTCCTTCAGGATTTCAACTATCAACCTCGAAATGTAGGCGCTAACAAGGAATAGCGTGGAAACA